TTCCCACTAATATTAATTTTTCCTTTCCCTAGTTTCATGCATTCACTTTGTGTATCACCCATCACTAAAGTGGAATTTCATCATTTCATTACATGATTCCTCATAAAGTCACTTGCACTATTTATTTATTTCTTAAAGCTTAACTTGTTTTATCTCTCTGCAACCAGGGGAAAAGCTCCTTGAGGACAGGAGTTGTATACCATCATTTCCTATAACCCTCACAATATCTTCCAAAGTATATTCACAAACAGGCACTTATTTAAGGGTGTAAGATGCATCCTGGCAGTTTTAAAAGTACAGACATTTTTTAAAAAGAAATTATGAGCTCCATTCTTTGACAGAAGTCTTGAATAATCTGTCATCTTATTCAGCCATACATATATGTGTAGGAGTAAGCTGTCTTCCATAGAGACTTTTATAATACACACACTTCTATAACAAGTTGCCCAGTCTTTTCTATTCATCTAAAATAAGATGACAGAATAGCCCAGGGTTTAAGAACATGGGCTTTGGAGACAGACTGCCTGGGTCCCTACCCAGCTTCTAACACTTACTGTCCACGTGACCTTAAACAAGTTTTCCCTTTTGTTTCCTAATGTATAAAAGAAAAATGTTAATAGTACCTACCTCAAAGGACTGTTGTGACAATTAAATTAGCACACATAAAGTACTTAGTGCCTAACACACAACTGATACTCAATAAATGTCTGCCATTATTATCTTAGTTTAGATAATAAAACCTACTTGCAGAAAACATCTGCTATTAAAATTTATAATATATTTTTAAAAACATTTAAAATTATTTTAGATAAATTAGAACTAATAGCAATACTTTTAGGTTTACGCTCCAGCCCCTACATGTACTTCAAAACACCAAAACTGTACTTGGAGGTAAAGTGTTTCTATGCCTCTGACCTACAAGGTTTACAGGTTTTAGTTCTCGTTGTACTAAAAATATGTGTACATACACATGCAGATACCTTCAGCAGCCCCTCGGTTATTGGCGGAATAGCATCGTCAATAATTGTTTGTTAGAATAAGTGAAAAAACTGTTTCACTTGATATATTAGTCAATTTTGGTATTAGAGAGCTCCAAGTGTAGATTTTTCTTGGCTGAAATGTACAGGTAAAGATATCTTTGACCCCCTTCAGCATGCCCTCCAACTACAGTCACTAAAATACACAGTGATCTCAAAGGTGGATGGTTTTGCTATTCTTTGTATGACCTGACCTAATTAATTTCAGAATGAAGCAAAACACATTATAGTACTTGCACAGATTAAGTAACCGATTAACTGAATAGTATGAACCTCATGGAGGTTCAAACAAAAAGCATTATATTTTTCTCAATTCCCTGATCGCAGGAGAAATCTCCCTTCCCAGCTGGATAGATCCTTTAAAAATACCTGAAACAGATCCCAGAATTTTCATGTCACTTGCATTTATTAAAAGTCTACCTAAGTTTAAAATGCCAATCACATGCCTGAATCAGGGCCTTCCCTAGGGTTATCTCCTGGCTCCAGGGTCCAAGGAAATAGGGAGCGATCCTTAAAATGCCAAACTAAGAGTGCAGGCCAATCCAAGTGCCTGCTGCCAACTTCCTCTAATTTTCTTCTGGTCTGCTCAGGTGAGTGCAGGGCCCAGCAGTAAATACATGCCTAAAAATATTTCTTGCTTCTGACCAAACATTAGACATTGTTTGCAAGCAACAACCCCTATCTTTGATTGCTTACTGACTCCTTCTCCCACTCTAGCCTACAGAAGTGGAGTTGGGGAAGTGCAAGCAGTTAGTTTTGGGCTGGTTCTTGGTCCATCCTTCACAAAGCCTAAAGTTAGCTCTGGTTTAAAGAACATAAGACAATGGTGGAAGTACAACCAATTGCCCATGGTTATGCCTTTTTTGTGTTGGTTCCTGCTAACTCTATGTAAGACTCAATGACTTTCTCAGGGCAGGGGTGATATTAAAAATACTTAACAGGTGGGGGTGCCACTTGATCAGAAGGGATGTGCCCTCCAGTTGCTGCAAGGGTACTCAGGGAGTTGAGTCACAGGCTTTTTACTGTAAAAGGAAGTATTTTGGTGTTTTAGTATTAAGACAGCTGTACTGGTACAAACCAGCTGAATATCACCCCTGCTTGTAGGAGGTTTCGGAGGGTCCTGAGCAAAAGCATCTCCATTGTATTCTTTGTGAGAGAATATCCCTGGCCTGCCCTAGGCAATCCCTCCCCATTATTGTCCAATGGCCTCTTGTCTGATCAAACTCAACTACTGTCTATTTATCCATTTGACCCCTGGGAAACTTACACATCTTTATAAAAAAGCCCAAACTAAGAGTGTAGCAGGGCATTTCAAGTCTCTCTCTGCTGCCAACTTCCTTCAGTTCTCTTTTTGCCTGATCAGATAGGTGGAAGAATCTTCCAATAAATTTATGTCTAAAACCCTTCTTACTTCTCCCCAAAGAACAAGAAGATATTTATTGCATGTACCACCCTCAATCTTTAATAGTGGTTCTCTTGGAGCTGCCTTCACTTCCCTTGATATGGGACAGGGATAATGAATGGAAAGTACTTCTATCCCTTCCTCCCTGGGACAGACAGAAAAGCCGAGATATTCCAGCTGAGTGGATAGCCTGTGATATCCCTCCACCTAGGGATGACTTGGGGATTGGAGCTGGGGCAAGAGGAGGAATCCTGGAGTGGTAGAGGGGATAATAGTTAAATCAGGCCGTCTTTTTATAAGTCCCTTTTTATAAGTCTGGCCCAAATTGGAAGTAGTTTCTTGGTGGCTTTCCCTTTCCTTTGTAATGTGAGAATTTAAGATTGTCTCTTCAGATGCCAGACATAAGCATCAATTCTGGGAATAGGAAAAGTCCTTCTGGATACCTTGTTATATTTATTTATTTAAAAAGGTATCACAAATAATGAAATATTATATTTTATTAAAGAAAATGAATATTGAATACACATGATATACAAAGACTAAGGAGGCACATCTATTGGTGATTATCTGAAGATGCTGATTAATCCAATGTGCACATATTTAATTAGAAATTGGGAAAGCTTTTGGATGTTATTCTAAAATACACTGTATTAGTATTAAGACATCATACTCATTTGGTGCAAATAATAATAGCAGAAGATTTTCTTTGTAAATTATTTTTTTAGCAACCCTGTGTCATCAAAAGCATATATTTTTACTCAAATGTTATACAAAACTAAGCTGATTTGCTGTAATTGGAATAGGCTTATTTCAGCCATTTTACCCCTTTAAATTATGATACCAGCATTCAAACATCTGTTAAACCATAGCATCTGTTTCATATTTGGGATGCATCCCTACAAATTAGAAGAGTGTTCTTTTTAATGAGCTCTGATTTAATAAGGAATCTTTTTTTTTATAATGACATGCTAAAGAAAGAAAATAAGAAGATGAATTAATCTCCCCCACAGCAAAGCAACCCTCAAGTTCATACACTTTTAACAAAAAGTTGTTTAATAAAGATAAAGATTGAAAGTTAGTTTGTTTTACAATTTAGTGTTGTTTAATATTTAAGAAATCATATGTATGTTTGTATGTATGTTGTATGCACCCACAAAATTATATAATCAGAAAAAGCGCAGGGCCATATATCCATATTATCTGAGAAAAATAATCATTTTTCAAATAAATTATGACAATCTATACTTTCTTAAAGATAATAGACAAATTCCTGACCTCACAGTCTCTGTTTGCTAAGATTTGTTTACAACTCTAATTCCTAAGACACTCTCTTTGTCAGATCTTCACTGTTTCAATTGTATCTGAAGTAACACTTTATACTGAATCATGCAGCTCTTTTTAGACCTATTCCCTGATGTCTTCAATGTTTTCCTTAGAGCTTTTCAGTCCTTTGTTGCACTCTATTTGGGTCTGAATTTGTCTTATACAAGAAGCATGTCAGCTGAGTATTAGAAAACAATGGGTTAGTTTGTTCCACTGTTTATATACTTTACTATTTTAGGCCTTTGCATTTTTATATTTCTAATTTAGACCTAGCTAAGTTTCATAAGCCTAATTTAAAGATGTTAGATATTTAAAACTCCACAAATTTTATGATACAAATTACCATAGAATTTAGAAATTTTAGAAAATAATAGATCATTCCATTAAGTTGAACAAACTACAAAGAATTTATAAAAGAACCATATCACTCACAAAAGAACTCAGAGGAAACTCATTAGAAGGAAGCGAGAGAAATGAGAGAAAAGAAAAAAAAAGTTTAGTATAAGAGATTTTTGGTCATCCACTTTGTACCTTCTTAATTTATGTCACCAATACAGAAAATTGATACGAGAATGTCCTGATGCTAAAAACATTTCTTCCCCATGTTTCCTGGAGGCAGAGCAGTCACAGCCTGGCAGAGAAAGCCCCTGCTCATGTCCATGCTGGCAAGGACTCCTCTGGCATTGTCCTCCGCAACCCACCCCTCACCAAGTGAGGGCTCTGTCCTTCACTGGCTTTATAAAAACCTGTTTTCTCCTTTGCCAATGGCAAAGTAGCATTTTATGCTCACATGTCATGTCAAATGCATAACTGATAGATGTTATAAAAACAGATAAAAACCTGAAATTAAAACATCAACCACTGGACTTAAAAGCAGTGCCTTCAAGAGATTTATCAATGATCAGAGCAGAAGAAAATTACCTAGGGTATTCTTTTGTGTTTGGGCTGCACTTATTCAACCAATCTGAGAGAGACAAAAACTGATCTTATTTTAAAATACTACCTGTGAAAAAGATTTTGCAATATTCCTAAGTAGCCTTTTCTAGGCTTAATAACTATTAGTAGCAAAACTCTTGTTTTCCCAAATTAAAGGTTAACCATCTCATTGTTGAAAATTAGATAAAACATGTTTTATGGTCACAGGAGAGAGAGTACAGTTTAAGGAACACTGTTATAATTAAATATTTTGTAATTTCCACCTCTGCAGATCTTATTTCAATATACTCTTAGGAACTTGCCTCTGCCAGTTGAAAGAGTGCAGACTTTCCACAGCGTTTCACAGGCTCAGCACCACCCAACTGCGAAGTGTTTGAAGAAATCTATATTGAAGACAATTCATAAAGAGTATTAATTGTGATACCAGAATCTTTGCTTCCATTTATACACATTCAGGGACTTTCCTTAGTTTATGCAAATATCATTGCTTCCAAGTACCAATAACTTTAAACATGTCATGCTTGGAATGACCATTTTGAGAACCATTTTTAGTAAATAACCTCAAAATAATAATAATAATAATAAAACAGGTGTGGGTTGGGTGGCTGTTTAATGACAAGGGTATTATTTTGCATATTCTAGGAGTTAAATTTAACTCTATAACCTTAAAGTGAGATATGCATTTCAATTTCTATTTAAGTACTAACTAATAAACTGGCCAAAATAAAAGAGATTTAGAGTTATTTTGCATTTACCAAGTGATTAGTTCAATTTTTAAAGGAATATATTTGGGATCTCTGTGGAAAAATAGCATCAAGTTAGTCAACAAATATTTTTTTAAGCTGAGTGCAGTGGCTCACGCCCACAATGCTAGCAACTTGGGAGGCTAAGACGGGAGGATTGCCTGAGGCCAGGAGTTTGAGAGCAGCCTGAGCAACAGACTGAGATGCTACCCCTCTAAAAATAAGATAAGAAAAATTAGCCAGGCATAGTGGTGAGTGCCTGTAGTCCCAGTTACTCAGGAGGTTGAGGCAGCAGGATGGTTTCATCCCAGGAGTTTGAGGCTGCAGTGAGCTATGATCACACCACTGCACTCTAGTCTGGGCAACAGAGTGAGACCCTGTATCTAAAAAAAAAAAAAAAATTTTTTTTTTAGAATCCAATCTATACGTGCAAAGCAATATGACAGCAGCTGGGGAAGCTAAGAGTTTTATATGAAACACAGACTGGTTTTGAGAGTATGCTCTAATGTACATGTGAAGATTGACAATGAAGAACACAAATCTAAGATATACAGGTAAGGGCCTATCCTATGCCACTTTTGTTAATGTATCCATGCTATTAATACATTGACTACATACTCTTCTGCAAATTTACCTAAACAGTCAGTGGCTGGTCACTGATAAATGTGAATAGCACTGCCCCTTTCTCCCTTTTATATGAAAACTTCATTTTTAATTTCTAGCCTTGATAAGAGCTGAGAAGGACATGCATTCTGAAAGATATTTACAAAGCATTCCCCTCCTGGAGAAGTTCTGTCATCATCAGAGTTGCTAGCTATAGTCTAAGCTCTTGACATTCTTTGTGATTCTGAATTCTTTCTCAGTTTAAAATGGAGCTAGTTCTCAATTCTATTTAGGAAATAAACCTGCCTTATGACAATAACCTTACAAGTGACTCCAGTCCAACAGGGGATTCTATGGAGTTGTCAGCTTCAGGAGAGACTGAGTGCTCACTGCTAGAAGAAATTCTCCCTAGAAGACCTGCTGAACAAGATGCCTTTGTAGAACCATGGATTTAATAAGCTACCTAGGCCATCGAAGAGAGTCTAGTTTAAGAAAGTTATGAGGACTCTTTTCTCCTAGGTACTGTCAGTTTTAACAGAGCCCTTTCCTATATCATTTACTTTTTCTTTATAAGATACATTTATAGGGTTCAATCTTTCTCAAGTTTGGAATATTTTCCTCTATCTGAATTGTCACTGATAAATGCTACTTTCTACTATTTCCAGACAGGCTGAATTCAATTACTCACATTATCATCAGCCTAAGAAAAAACAAACACATTAATATCACCGACTCTTAGTGACTTAAGGGCATGAAGTACTGAACATAAATGCCCATCCCTTGAATTAAAGTTGTATAATAGAAAGAATATGGTCTTTGTGCCAGACAAGGCTTCATTACTTTCTGCTGTGTGGACGTCTGAACATAATTAAGACTTTAAGCCTCATTTACTTCACTTTCAAAATATAAACAATACCTGCCCTTTATTACATTGTGAAGATTAGACTTAATGTTAGTGAGAAGCACAGTGTAGTGGCAATATTATGCTCTCAATAAATGGCACAATTAATTAATAATGATTTATCACTATTTAACACTAATAAACATAAGCACCTTTTTAGTACAATTCCAAAAACTATACACTGAAATTGAACATAATTAAAAATGGTAATGTTTGAGGTTGATATTTACTAAATTTAGTAAATTACTAGAGCATTATTACAAATTTGTCACATACTCCAGTGATCAACTCAAGAATTACTAAAGGATGACAAGCTGGGTAGTGCTGCAATACACAGCCCATGGTGTTTTTCTAGTTCTTCCACTGGCTCCCTCTGCTGTCGCTTTTGTTACTATAGGTTTCAGCTCCTTTAGAGAGAAAGAGAGAGAGGAAGAGAGGAAGAGAGGGAGAGAGAGAGAGGGAGAGAGAGAGAGGGGGAGAGAGAGAGGGAGAGAGAGAGGGAGGGAGAGAGGGGGGGGAGAGAGAGAGAGAGAGAAGAGAGAGACAGAGAGAGAGATGTATTACCACATATCCTATGCTCAATGCTGCGCCTCCTGGTAGAGGCTCAGTGAAGAACTACTGACTACACGGATGTAGGAACTGCCCTCAGAATTCACTGAGAGGAGGCTTGAGAATGGCTCCTTGTCTTTCAAAGAAGGCCCTATGTGTAATGAAAACAGTTTTCCTCACTGCCTCTGGGGAAACTTTTACGTATTTATAGATACAAAGTAGTATTTTAAGTGCTTAAGGTTGCTGGAAGCCTGATTTCCAAAAGGGCATGTGTGGGGGGAGGTTCAATATATTTGAGCAGTCCAACATTTCCTGAATCTCCTAACAAGAAAATTTTCATGGAATGACTTAGTGGTGAGATATGATTTCTAAAAATGTTTTTAGACTTCTTAATTTGTGGGTGGGTGGGTAAGCAGGGGGAACTGGACATATGTTCATTTCTGTGGCTTAATCCTTATCTTAATTTCTCTGCAGCATTTGATAGCACTAATCTTTCTTTAGAAAAACTCCTCCCTGGGCTTCTGTTACTGCAGGATCCTTGCTTTCTTCCTACCCTCAGGCCAATTCTTGGATGGCTCTTTCTTCTACTGTGATCCCTTAAATGTTGTTTTTCCCCAGGGTTTTGTCCTAGGGCCCTCTCTCTTTTTATGTTACACATCATCTCTCAGGAATCTCATCTATGCTGATGGCTTCAATTTCAAGCATAGCTTGTACAATGATGCTGATTTGTTATACTACTGTTCATTCCTGCCAATATTGTTCTATTTCAGAGACATATACCTACTTTCACGTAAGAATAATATAGTTAATATATGTTTTCCAATGACTGGTCAGCTCTGGAGGGAAGCGTGTATTTACTGCACTGGTGGGAGGGGCCATATTGCATAATAAGTTCATGGCTGGGCTTTTTATTTTCCTTAAATTGGGTGGTGCTTGCCAATCAGTTAACTCCACTGGAGTCTCTCTTGAATATTATGTAATTTTTGATAGACAGTATTCATTCATAAAGGTTAGCAAGATGGTGGGTCTAACAGTACATGAGCTAAAGTGCTAAGAAAAATGATCACCTTGGATGTTAAATTGGTTATTTTATGGCTGCCTGAGGTGGGTGAGTACATCAGGGAAACAGTCAGTAAAGATCAGGATCCAATTAGGTAATGGTGGAAGTCTTTTGCAATTGAATAAACATTGCAGCCTGGGAGAAAATGACCAATAAGTATTGAATGAATAAATGAATCAAAGAACAAATGAACACTATGAGGATGACTGGTCTTTCTTACCTTAAAAGATATATTAATGCTTCCAATAAAATGCATAATACATTCACTGATTATTCGCAGTGTAAGTATATGGAGTTTTTAATTGACTGCAATATTCTGTAACATATTGAGCATTCCATCATGAAAATGAATGCTTTAAATTTGTACCTATTGCTTACCCCCAATTGTGATGATATTTGAAATTTAGTGAGATTATAGTTATACTTACATTGGCAAAGTAAATGTCTACAAGGAAAATTTCACTGTCTAAATCTGTTTGTCTAATCTCTGGTCCCCAACCCTGGGGCCATGGATGAGTACTGGTCCGTGGCCTGTTAGGAAACTGGCTGCACGGTAGGAGGTAATAAGCTGTGGGCCAGCCCCACGCCCCATCCCCCTAGTCCATGGAAAAACTGTCTTCCATGAAACCAGTCCCTGATGCCAAAAAGGTAGGGGGCCACTGGTCTATATCATCCAGATTAGCTATCTCTTCAAAGTAAGTATGCAATTTTTTAATGCAAAGATACACTCTAGGTGTAATAGCCACACAGCAGAGAAGAGAATATGTGGTTTGGTCATGGCTTTTAGACCTGTTAAATAATGACAGTAACTCCCTTCTGACATTATATTTGGTGAGTCTTTAATAAACTAGGTCTAAAAACTGACTGATGTGTCATTCTACCTCTAAACAACAAAAGATGCAGATAGGAAACTCATTCTAACCAAATTAATAAATCAGAGACTGGAAACACAGCGTGACGGCACTTCAGATGGGTCAAGTTGAATCTGCATGAAATACTGAGTATCAGCATGGAATAGGATACAGGCTGAAATTGGGGGGTGGGTTCTCTGTTCTCTGTATTTCTTTCTAGATCCTTGTTTTTCTCCTTTTAACTGTAAACACTCATGAGGAACCTACAAACAAAATGTGTTTTATTTGGTTTCAAAGTTCCACATAGGTTAACTTCAATGGGCTTTAAAATGGTCAGATTTGGTTAAGAAGGAAAAATTCCTTCTCAGCTTGCAAGACAGCGACCCATGACTCTGTGAGGAAAGAAATTTTTTTTTTCAACTTAAAGAAATTCGCAGGGCTTATTGTTTTTTAATTTGTGTGTTTCTTGGATAAATACTTTACACAATAAATGATCCATTTCCAAGAGAAGATCCAGCTAATCTCTTCCTAGAGTGATGAGTTTGTAAATAACAGAAATAGTTTCTAAGAATTTTGCAAGCCTGTTCTTAAAGTGACGTTACAAATCTAAATGTTTTTAAAGAAAAATTTATTTGTTAAATAACATAAACATCCACTGCTAAGTGTATATAATAGGACCAGGAATCCCTCTGAAAAGGTACAGGGGGGTAGAAAGTGGTCCACTGGGTAATTTTCTATTATACATCCATTCTTTCTGCTTCTTTACCTTTCCCCTATGAGGTCCCAAAGATATTAAAAAGTACTTTAACTTAATAATGAGTTAATAATTTGGGGGTTTAAAAAAAAACCCACAACTATCTCAAACTGTGGTTCTCTAATAGGAAACTTGTTAGAAATGTAAATTCTCAGGCTCAACCTCAGATTTAAGGAATCAGAAACTCTGCGGGTGGAGTCCAGTAATCTGTGTTTGAACAAGCTTTCCATGTGAGTTGGATGTATTAATATTTTAAAGTTTGAGAACTTTTGCTATAGACAAATTAGAACAAAAATTCAAGAGTCTTTGGGTTTGCTCAAAGGTGACAGTGTTTTATGAAATAATTATAAGATATTTAGTGATATCATGGTTAGTAATTATGGTCTATTTTATTTCTGCAATATATATGCTCATAGCAGATTTTAGTTGATAATTTTATTAGTTTATCTGGGTAACTCTTATAGCTTTAAATAAACCAGCCCAGTATTGAGCCAATAATATGGTCAGATCATAAGATGTTAGAGATTGAAACTTAGAATTCTCTTGGGTCAGATGAAGAAAGTGATTACAGAGGTTCCATATAGAGAACCATGACCTTCTCTTTTATAATCATATATAACATTTACAATTAAATAGCCATGGATGAGGTAATTTGTTTAATTTGCTTAGGAATTAGGGCTATGATCAACCTACGTAAAATGTAACTAGGAAAAGTAATATATTTATTGCGGGGGGGGTTGTATTGGATTCCAGGGCAAAACAGAAATTGTATTTTTTTTTACATTATCCGTTTCATTTTGATTTTTTCCATCATATACACCTTCCTGTTTCAATACCTTGAAACAACTCCTAATATGTTTTCAAATTAACAACTTTTTTAAAAAGTTTCTTCAAATCCTACATATACTTCATGGTAAAAAAACCAAAGAGCCCTTGGGAGATGCGTGCTGTTGAGCAGAGGAGCGACATCTGGAAATGCCTCCCTGCACGACTCTCTCCCAAGTAAGTTCTTTTCTTCCCTAGAAAAAAACTTAGTATAATTAAGAGGGAAGGACCAAATCTTCTCATGCTTTGAGGAGTGTACTGAGCAGCAGGGACAAATCAGTTTACGAGAGGCATGGGATGTCACTCTGCAAAATCACAGGATAGTGGTTATTACAACCTCAAACTGGTCCCTAAGACCTGTCCCAGGGCTTCAGGAGCTCTAATGAATCTGATGATGATATCGATTAAATAACATTTAATCATGTTAGAAATGCACCAGCACCAGCTGAAATATTCCACACTGGTAGTTTAAATTAAGTTGAATACTCTTGGTAGCTAATGCATATGTAAATATCAGGTGTGTCAAAGATGAGCCACTCACTACCTTTCAAATATTTAAGCTACAGAGTATAGAATTTAATCAAGCAGAATATGGCAAATAAATTCTGGTTTGAAAAAAATGTGTTTGAAAAGCTAGCAGGGACTGGTTCAGATATCAACATTAGAAATAAATGTAGTCACCATGTCAAAATTCTTTTTTAACTGTGGAAAAAACTATTAGCATCAAATAAATGAGTATTAACAACTGGAGGAAAGCAAACAAGTATAATTAAACAAAATTATTTCCCATTGTGACAATAACTGCTTGTTGATCATAATGGAAAACTATAATAAAATCATAATTTATTTGGATTAATAAAATTATTCTTTATGAAATAACATTCTATATTTTTATCAGTTTTATACAATAGCATCTAAGGCAAATACTATGGCAGAGAACACACAAGCAGGCCAACTGATGGTATAAAGTCACGGTGGTTGACACAAGTGTCCTAAAAGGAAGCAACAATTTTTTTTTGTTTGGATGTAAGAGCCAAAAGTAATTTTTTTCTCATTTTAAAAGATGCTAGGTTTCCTCATGCCAAAAGGATATCATTTTATATTTCATTTATGCAGCACTCTTTATTCAAATGAATAAAGTGATTCAATACATCAATATTAAACAGAATAGTCCTGCTTGTCATTTTCTCTCAACCCTATAAAACATTGCTTAGTATATAGGATATGCATTTTTGTTGGAATTATAGAGAGGGAAAAGATTAAAGACCTAAAGGAGACAGCATCTTATTTTCATAAACTATATACATTTTATTATTTGTCATATAGTGCTCATTAGAAATGAGAATATGGTTGAATCCAGGGCTTTTGTGGCAAAAATCAAGAATATCCAATTTGCCTCCTCAGCATACCAACAAAACACTCACTGGTATGTGCTCTCTCTCTGGCTGACAAACCAAAGAAATCTAAGATCCCGCAAGAGCTGACCTGATCTAAGCCCGGGATTAAGCACTAATAAAAATACTGGCTGAGGCTACATCACATTGAAAGCTAATTTAACCTGATTTAACAGGTCGTATTCACCACTGCATTTGCTGTGAGAGAATAATTCATGAATTACAGTATCTAATTTCACTACTGGAAAAATTTAATAAATTGGAATCCTTCAGCCTTTATGTTGACAGCAGTTTTCCCAAGCTTTTAAAATAAATTAAAAACAAGGTAAAATGAAATAAATAAATTACTGGTAAATGCCTACTCTGAATGAAGGCTTTACCGAATGCTTATAAAAATGGGTATAAAATCAGGAGCTGATTTGACTACAATTTTACCAAAGGTAACAAAAAAACCAATAAACAGTTATGTGTATTATGTTAATAATGGCAAGAGGTGTGCCTAAAGTTCACTACATGTTATTAAAATTCCATTTCAATATTCCTGAGCTCAACAACAACCTTTCTGAGCCCAATAAGCATCAAAAAAAAAAAAAACAAAAAAAAAAGCTGTACCTCTGCAAACTGAAACAAGGCCGAAGGCTGACACTGTTTTGTAGGAGCTTCAGGGTGGGATGTACTTGAAGATATCTGAAAGGAAAAAAGCAATTTTTAACGCACAAGGACATTTTTTCATATCAGACCATTAGATTCTGCCATATATTTCTACTGTAGACACTGATAAAGATTAAAAAATGAGTCATCACCCTCAATCCCTTTTAGAACAGCACAAATGATAAAGAAAAGACAAAGGCCATGTTTCTAAAAACAGATGACTGGAAAGAACAAGAGTTTGGCTCATTTGCCATGTCCTTTGTAAAATAATCGGGCATGTATCAAACAGCACATATTCAAGAGACTTGTTGAAATGAATTTCATTATTTTAATGAATTAAAAAATACATTATTAAAAGTTGGAAGCTGCAAGTAAAGCCAGTTACTCTCTGTCTTCCCTATGCCACCCCCTTTCAGGTTGTTCTCGCCTTAGAGGCAGCTGTGAAACAGTGAGAGAAGCATAAGGATGTTGGTCAGGATAACTGGGATTGAATCTTAGCTCTGCTACTCACTTGCAACATGACCTTGGGCAGCTCAGCTAAACTCTCTGAGACTTATTTTTCCCAGTTGTAAATTGGTGATGATGATGATAATCCCCATTTTATAGCATTGTGAGGAAAAAAAATAATAAGCCATCAAATACATTACTTGGCATGAAACCAGAACTCAATAAATTGTTCACTAAATATAAAAAGCATTTCCTTCTTTTACAACACCTGCATCCTCTCATCCAACCCAGAGACACACACAGTTTAGTGTCTGACAGTGGACAGAAGACTGCCATACCACACTTGATTCAACTAGGAGACCTTTTGTTTCCTCTTGGTAATTATGATACTCTCTTTCAAACTTTGCTCAGAGGACTGTGAGGAAATACTTTTCAAGTATGTTTTGAGAGCAAGGTCAGTTATTAATCTTGGTTCCAAAGTGAACAAAGCTTTTATCCAGCTCCAAAACAGGGTTAAAGTGAGTCATAAGAGCAGAATGTCTGGGCATTATAACTTTAGGCCATTCCCAGTCCCACAAAAGTCTTTCTCTTCAAGCAACTGTGTTCACCAACTCCATGAAAGGGTACTTACTAAGCAATAAATGCACCTTAATCATAACTCTTCAATCACAAGTCACTTTTTCTATCTCAATTAAGTTGGTTAGAAAAACAATGGGGCCACATGGTGATACAGTATCAAAGTGATGTTTAGGGATGAGAAAGAATTAGTAGAGAGACTGACTGAATTATTGATTTTATTTACTGCTGAAGCCATTTTAATTCTATAGCATCTGTTGAATCAGATAGACAAGCATTCTTAGAATAATATCAGTAAGAAGACAAAAGATCAACCAGATCCAGTTTTAACAAACTACTAACCCTCTATAAAACCTAAAGAAAGTAAACAATTTATATAAGGGGAAACGCCTGACCTACAATATATTTCTTTAATAATCGAATCAGGCAGTGAACAAAGTAGAACCAGTATTATGATCCACCTAGTTTTTTGAAAAGCATTTCACAAGTTCTAAACAAAAAGATGTTTTCATTAATTAATACTAAGATAAAGAATTCAATTAATGACACAAATATGAACTCCTAGAGAAATATTTGAGACCTTTTATATAAAGGCAGTAAGATCAGGGATCTCTTTGGAATCTTAGGTATGCTATAGAAACCACAAAATGAATCCTAGCACTCTGGGAGGCCAAGGCAGGCGGATTGCTCGAGGTTAGGAGTTCAAAACCAGCCTGAGCAAGAGTGAGACCCCGTCTCTACTATAAATAGACAGAAATTAATTGGCCAACTAATATATACAGAAAAAATTAGTCGGGCATGGTGGAACATGCCTGTAGTTCAGCTACTCGGGAGGCTGAGGCAGAAGGATTGTTTAAGCCCAGGAGTTTGAGGTTGCTGTGAGCTAGGCTGATGCCAGGGCACTCACTCTAGCCTGGGCAACAAAGCGAGACTCTGTCTCAAAAAAAAAGAAAAAAAAACAAAAAAACAAGAAACCACAAAATGTACATATGCTAATACACTCAAAATTTCATATGAAATTTTAGAGATTTCATTAGATCTTTACTGGTTCAGGGAGCATTCATTAAGCAACTCTGCTTTCAAAGTTGGGACCAATCTTTTTTAACATGGGTATAACTGCTGTTGAAAAGGGAGTCTAGAGTGAATTCTTGAGGAAACAATATACGAAATAATTGGAATTCATGGTAGATCTCACACAGAGGCAGAAAGAAAAGTAACAGATAAAGAGCATCATGTGAGTATATATGTATGTGTACATATGTATTTGTACACACACACACACACACACACACACACAAAGCATTCTGGTGATATCAGCAAGGCATTTAGGCATATTGAAGGAATGGCCTAATGTGCCAGTATGAAAAGCAGTTTTGCCAACAAAATATTAAGAAAACCCCAAGAAAGAAACTAGAGAAGTAAAAAAATCTGAAACTAAAAAATGCTCCCCACCTGTGCAAAATTGTAACATGATGGGCAAATGCCAGGAAGGATGACAGTGTAGGAAATGTCTAGTGAAAGACAATTCAAATAATCAAGGGAAGACCAGGTGGCTTAAAGTTTAAGGAAAAAATTAATCAATGAGGTCTCATATTGAGTCTAGGGTAAATAAAGATATTTGGGGAAGCAGTCTTAACCTTTAGACTTGTTATAAAGGATAATATGCTTTTCTACATCATCTTATTGAACCAGTGTCAAGAGACATATTGAGCTGAAGAGGTCTGACAAAATGTAAGATTTTGGAAACTGCCAATCTCACACTAAAGTTTCAATTAAGATCGGGTAAAGGTACTAAAAAAACAGGAATGCATAGATTAGATGCATAACCAATAACCATGAGTTGATTCTGTCTTCTGATTTATCAAATCAACATATAATAAATAAGTTCTAATAGTAATTCAATTATATTCTTAACCTTACTATCAATAAATCGAAATTAGTAATAAGGTTTAAGTGTAATAATATTTAGTATGACTTAACAATAAGCTTCTAACAATAAGCTTCTATAAACACATAAATGTGTTATTCTTTAGCTAAGAACTCTGGAATTCCAAAACCTCTTTTTCAAAATTTGATTCTATTTTCCCATTTATGGTTCATTGAACTGGGTAGAATGCTTCATTTCTTTCAGTTACTATTGTCAACCAAAATTTAAGCTCACTTTATAATTTCCTCATGAATTCAGTATAAATTGCAACATACTAACCTCAGCAAACTGGAACAATGGTGACTTCTGACGCAATTCAGGGGATTCTGGAACGTCAGGCCTGCATGTGCCAGAGGATATCTGAAACAAAGAAAGGTAGCATGAGGCATCACAAGAATAGCTTCTGCAAGACAACAGAGACAAATGTCACCTAAAACGTTCCTATCTTAGGGAAAGAATGGCTTTATTTTCCTCGATTTGATGCAACACTGTTACAAAAAAGCAGTTATTATGCAAGGTTTTATACAAGTGACCATTCAAGCTGCTAAATATTAATAATACCATAAGTAGGAGGAGATGGACAGAACAATGTAGTTTAGAAAGGTCAATATTCACCTAAGAGAAATTTCTACAAAGTCACCTATTTGATCTCTTGGCTTTTTGCCACCAACCCCTCCCAAAAATCTACTTCTTTCATGTTCTGCGTTTCCTAGTTCATATTACCTAAATATTTGAAAACATAAGTGAGATCTGACAATCTAAGACTTCTGGAGAAACAAAACTTATGTCAAATTCTTGATTTCCAGGGTTTTCAGGTGTTTATATACAAGCTTCAATATTCGAAAGATTAATATTTACCTAAGAGAAATTTCTAATATATATCTTCTGTTTGTACTATTTAACTATTTGCTATTTGCATTATCAACAACAGTTACGGAAATGTCACTTTAAAAAAAATTCTATTAATCAAGTACTATTTCCAGGATATACATTTCCTCTTTTATCTTAATGCTAGAATTGATGCATTTCTACATTTGGGTGACATAATCACTTAGGTAGTCAAATATAATTCAAAAGTCGTAGGAGGCTCAAAATGTCAGAGAGGGAAGGATTTTATTATTCCTCTGATCTAATCCCTTCTCTTTTTACTGATGAAGGGAATTTAGGAGCAGAGAGATAAATGGTACTTTCCTTTAATCATTCTTTAATGAACACTTAACACAAGACATACATACGTGTTTATTGTATGTCCTCTCCCAGAGGCCTTGTTTAATCTGTTATTCCCAACACTGTCTGGGCATAATGTTTATATTTAATAAGTATTTGTTGAATGAACTATTAAAAGCTGATAACAGGTCTTCTAAATCCTAAATCAGTGTGTTTTCTTCCCACTTTCCTAAATGATGAAGTTAGGAAGTCTAGAAAACAGTTATCTTTCACTTTAAAGGAAAAACAGAAAGAAGTTACAAATGCTTTTTAATAATTTGGTTTTTTGACTACAAAATAATCTAAATTTACTGTCAAAAATCCAAAAAATAAAAATAGGTAATTTTTTTCAATAAAAATCAGATACTATACTACAGTTATAGAATGTTCTTTTCTTTAAACTTAACAAAACATTAATTTTCCTGAGTCATTAAATCTTTTCCACTGTAATTTTAATAGCTACGTATGATTATAATAGATGGGTAAATTCTAAGGAAAGAGCTGCCAGTCAGGTTATGCCCCTAAAAAACAGTTTCTCACTGAACCTCTTATTAGACTCTGGGGATGTGTTTCTCTAACAGTGTCACAGGCCACTGGGCAGGAGCAAGCATTTGAAATTTTAATTGTCATCTTTGGATTTTAAAGAGTAATGGCCACCTTCTTGCAGTGAAAGGCACCACAGAGAAGGTGCAGAAATTTTAATTAATTTGCCACTTGTGGTTTGGCTGCAAAGCCTGACTCCCTTACTGTCACTTGACTATTTGACATGTTGTGCCAAATGTCCCACCAAGGGGACACAAAATGCACTAAAAAGAAGGCCAACAAATCTTGAAATTAATAGCCAAAAAGGATTGGGAATTTCTTTATTGGAAGGAATTTTTGGACAAAATGTATCTTTTATAATTTAGAAATAATAAAAGAAAATCAAAACTTTTCCTGTTTTATAAAGAAATCCTATGTGCTTGGCTCCTAGATAATTTGGTAAATAATCAAAATTTGATTTAAAATCAAGGTTAGAACTAAATTAAAATTACAAAATGTCTTCACATAAAGCATTAATAAAATAGGTGTATATGTGACAGAAATCTAAAAAAGACAGACTTAAATATATTATTATTTAGGATAGTTACATTACATGAAGTCTATATAACATATATTCTTATTTTAGATCCCATGGTGCATGAGAAACAGTTACCATTTATGAAGAGGTAAGTTATCCTACAGCTTAGAGTTCATTTTAACAGCAAAAAGAAAATTCAACTTTCTTTTAGATGTCATTTATAGATTATTTGGCCACAACAACACCTCAAGTCATGAAGTTTAAGAGTCGAATGATACCCTCTGCAAATCTGTAGTATGGATGGTCTTAAATAAAACTTTCTATTTGAATGGAAAATGCAGGTGTAATTATCAAGGCATCTATAACTCTGCACATGTTATGTCATATATGATCAAAGAAGTCTATGCATGTGTGTTTGTACTCACTGTGCATCTGACACAAAGTAGATGCACAGTGATATTTGTTGACTTACTTGATTTTTTGTCATGTTTGTGTGACTAGGAAGAATCTCAGTGACCTGACCAGGAAGTACAACAAAGGCTGTTCAATTGTTAAAATAGCAGTTATAGAATCACTAAGGCTATGCATTTCACTCTAATGAACCATGTCCTCTCTCAAAATTTAGTTATGCTTACTTTAAAGCAATGTGAATTTAGCATGTATCTTCAATGTAGTATAACACAATGGAAACAGCACAAAATTAGGAGCTAGGAAAATTGGGTTTCTGCTAAGCTATGTAGTTACCTGACTTGGTTACCTGACTTTCTACTCCACCAAAGAACAGAAGGAGCAAATCAGAAGGGGCCAAGAGTGGGGACAAGAAAAAGGAAGAGGGCTGGGAAGGGGAGAAACAATGCCAGCAGCAGGATGAGACAGAAAAAAAAAGATAAAAAAACTGTAAAGAACAGATACAAAAATTTCATAAAGCACTGTAGTCTGTCTAAAAAAAATTAAAGTAGGGCAAATAGCCCCCAAAATTCTTCTGAAGGCATTAACTCAATGCAATAATGAATATTTACAACTATAATCCTAAATTGTCAAGATAAGTATAATTATAAATTATATTCTTCATTAACAAGGCAGAATCTATATACATGTTAGACATTTTCTAGACAGAACCTAGATACATGTTAGACATTTTTTTCTAAAATCTCAAAATGGTTCAATGATTTGGCAAATATATTTATATAGAATTCATTCCTGAGTGCTTGACAAATATGGCATCCAATAAAATATGTATATTTGTGCATATGCTGATATATATACACATTTGATAAAGAAATACAGAATTCTATCCATGTGAAAGGGAGAGAGTATTTCCCACAAAAGGCTCCTATCTGAGTAGTATCATTAATTACAGCATCCAAGACCTAGTGAAATGTTTAAAATGTTCTGCTGCGCACTATTTTGTCTTGCTGTTTGCATTTAAGTTACTTAAATTGCATTTAAGTTACTAAAATTTCTTTTATTAGGTAGGGCATACTTTTTATGGATAAACATCAATTCCTTGATATCCATTCCTATACTAGAGCCAGTTTACTTTTTAAATATAACCTAAGTAGTCAAAGATATTTTTTCACTAATTAAGAGAAAAGAAAAGATACTAAATAACCAGTGGTTAAATCAAGGGAGAAAAAAATTCAAGCTGCTTTTAGAAATAGCCTCTGAAATAATCTATAAAGCCACTAGGTGTTGCTATATGCCCAAAAAACGAAATAGCTAAAGGGATTTTTGTTAACCACATATTCACCTTTCCTCAAATTCAATCCTCCCTTTGATTTAGCTTATAATTCTCAATAACCAAGGAAGGGGAATGATTACTATAATTAAAAATTACGATGAAGTAGTATTTTTTCACAGGAGCAATTCAGATAATGAAAATTCCATATGTATATTTAATAAACGTGATCCAGCCTCCTGATATGAAACAAGATCAAGCCAGTTACATGCACTGTAAGTGTTCTGGAAAGCCAGTTATCACCAAGGACTCATCCCTACTTTGTAAGGCACAAGACCACAGCCACACACTGCTGGCACTGTGATGAACACACAGCCAACAAATGAGGTCCATGCGCTGGTTGTATCTGAGCCATACATGTTACCCTTGCGAACTCAAACATTTATTGATTACTCACCCATTCAAAAAATATTCAGGCCGGGCGCTGTGGCTCACGCCTGTAATCCTAGCTCTTGGGAGGCCGAGGCGGGCGGATTGCTCAAGGTCAGGAGTTCAAAACCAGCCTGAGCAAGAGCGAGACCCCGTCTCTACTATAAATAGAAAGAAATTAATTGGCCAACTGATATATATATAAAAAATTAGCCGGGCATGGTGGCGCATGCCTGTAGTCCCAGCTACCCGGGAGGCTGAGGCAGGAGGATCACTTGAGCCCAGGAGTTTGAGGTTGCTGTGAGCTAGGCTGAGGCCACGGCACTCACTCTAGCCTGGGCAACAAAGCGAGACTCTGTCTCAAAAAAAAAAAAAATATATTCAGTAGACACTGACTATATGCCAGCCATAAAGACTGTCGCTTTTAGGCAGCTTATATTCCACTTGTATCCAGTACATGCGAGGGAATAAAATGATGTCTAAAGGACTGTACCCAACCCATAAGTTGCTTGCAACTCACGAGCAGGGGACAGCTACACATGTAAGAACCTAAGTGCACACTGGTGGAATATTACAAGGCATATAGGAGGACAAAGAAGCGGCCTTCATTCCCATGTGAGGACAGGTGGAAGGAAGACAGGTAATGTCTGAGATATAACTAGAAGGAAAACCCACAAAAAGCATGGAAATGACGTGGTAACAGCAGGTGGGAAAGTATGGCGGGAAGTACCCTATGTGCCTTCCCCGGTGCGGCTGAAGAATAAGATACATGGGAGCATAGTGAGAGACAACCAGACTGAAGAAATCTGAATTCCATGTTAAGAAGTTTGAATATTAGGCTGAAAGCAGTGGGGAGCCAGCCAAGGTTTTTAGTCAGATAAGAGATGAGTAGTTAGATAATTCTGTCAGTGAAGGAGCGAGGGGCAACCTTGGCTGGGGAGTGACTGGAGGCAGGAGACCAATTAGAAGGTTAAGGAAATAAGCCAG